GATCGTCCGCCCGCTCCCCCCCAATCGATCTCGCGAAAAAATCGCAGGCACAGCTGTCCGCAGATTCTCTGATCGAATGTCTGGAACGCGCGACGATTGTACGTCACGATCGTGCTCTCGTCGCCACTGTCGCCGAGATACCGCGCGAGATCCCTTGGCGGGCGGAGATTTCCAAACGCGTCGAAGTAGATCGCCGAGTTCCCTTTTTTTGCGTAAGCGACCCAATGCGTGCCCGGGCCCACCGCGTCGTCGAGATTCACGATGCCGCACTCCGCGCGTCGCACCCTCGTCGGCAGAGCGTCGCGCATGAACACCCCGCGGAAGAACGGCACGCGCAGGCGACGCGCCGCTCGATCGAGCTGTTCGTCGGTCGTGACGCCGTACGGAGGTAGACGCGCTAACCTCGCCTTTTTACGCGAGATTTTTTTTTTTGCCGACTCTCCTCGCGCCACCTCCGCGCTTCTTATACGGCGCGAGGTACAACCCGCGACCCTCCATCGCGCGATTGTGTCGCTGCAATTCGTCGAGCTGTTTCTGCGCCGCTTTGTTGGCGCTCACCGCTTTGGCCACGCTGGCCGCGCCACCGATCAAGGAACCGAGAGCGCCCAACATCGGTAGAAAGGGCAAGAAGCCGCCGCGTTTCGCCGTCGTAAGTATCCTCCGCTTCTTCCTTCTCGTCTTCGCGCTTCTCCTCAATCCCGTTCCTTTTCTCGTTTTCCTTTTGCGTTCCATACCCATGCCCAGCTTCGTCTTCGTCTTCATAGCCGCCCATACGTCCGCCGCGGCGAGTTTCTCACCGGCCGTGGAATCCTTCGCGGTGACGCGCTCGCGCGCCCTCTCGGCGAACCGTCGATCGGCGACGTGTCGCTCGGCGAGCTCGCCGCTTCGCGAATACGCGATGTCGTGCTCTCGACACGCCGCGTCCAACGGATTGATGCCTTCTTCGCCGCGCGCTAGTCTCTTCGCTAGACGCGTACCGGGCCCGCAGAACTGATAACCGGGTATGTGCAGTTCGAAGGGAAGAGCGTTTATCGCGCGATTGAGCAGACCGGTGCCACGCATTCGGTCGCGGTTGCGCGAGGAGCATTCGCTTCTTCTTAGTTTGAACGGGAAATCGAAGATACACCGTTCACAGGGCGAAAGCGATTGCACTCGTGGCAGTCCTTGATGAGCGGCGGTGGACCGTCTATGTGCGTTCGCTGCCACGGACGATTGTAGTGTCGCATGCACGGGCGATATCTCTGCACTTCGGGATCCGCTTGTATATGTCCTGGCAAACGGTCCCACAACAGGTGCACGTATCTCCCAAATTGACGCAACAGAAGGACCTTCGGAATGTATTGCAACTCTTCCACCGTTAGATTGAGAATTTCGTAACCGTCCACCAGTATGGGAAACACTACTGTGAGACATCTCACCGATGCGCGCGAACGATTCGTTGATTTTACAAAATAAATTTTTTTTTTCTACGGATACGGCAACACGCTCGCGCTACTTATACCCGCGCGCGAGGCGTTTGCGCACGCGCGACGAAACGAAACGACGTCCGCGCTTTCCCCTCTTTTTTTCCAGCGATCGAGAGACTCATCGCGAACGAACCGAGCGGAAAAACTCGAGGGAGAAAGAGAGAGAAGGCTAACATGCGATTCGTGCGACAGACGGCGACGTTAGGAGTCTCGAATCTGGATCGCAAAACATCGGCGGGGTCGGCCGCGACCGAGAGAGGAAACGGAGAATCGCGCCGGCACGGTCCTCTCCTTCCGAACGTCGTCCGTTGCATCATTTGCGGTCCCTCCAATTGCGGTAAGACGAACGTTCAGCTGAGCCTGCTGGAACAACCGCACGGTCTCCGTTTCGAGAACGTATACGTGTACTCGAAATCTCTGCAACAACCGAAGTATCGATATCTCGAACGATTGTTCGAGCCTATAGACGAGATCGGCTATCACGCGTTTTCCGACAATCGCGACGTCGTTCCGCCCGACGAGGCGCTTCCCGACTCGGTTTTCATCTTCGACGACGTGGCCTGCGACAAGCAAGACAGAATGAGGGAGTACTTTTCTATGGGTCGACATTCGAATATCGATTGCTTCTATCTCTGTCAGACGTAAGCCAAGATACCGAAACATCTCGTGCGCGACAACGCAAATCTGCTGATCCTGTTCAGGCAGGACGGCACCAATCTGCGACACGTGTACGACGATCACGTTAACATCGACATGTCGTACGACGAATTTCGCGCCTTCTGTCGCGAGTGTTGGCGGCGCACCTACGGTTTCGCCGTGATAGACAAGGACAGCGCGTTGCGAGGCGGACGGTACAGACGGGGCTTTCACGATTTCGCCGTGCTGTAGGGTCGATCAGTGCGCCTCGTCGAACGACGCGAGTATGAGCGCGATCGCGGAGGAGAGAACCGCGCGAGAAATAGCCAAGACGCGCGCCTCGATTCGCAGAAAGTACACCGCTCTCAGGGCCGGAAAAATGGAGAGCGAGATCGCTCTGGAAAAGAGGTACGAGCCTATCGTCAAACCTCTGAAACGGCTCGCCGATGACGTGGAACGCAGAGGTAAAGGACAAGATCGACGACGACGACGGCGCTAGTTTTGCGTTCCCGAAAAAGATGAAAGCGACGAAGAGAGCGAAGAAGGACAGCGAGAACGGCGACGACGACGACGACGCTGGCGCCGACCTGGAGCGCGATTACTGGGAGGACGACGACGTATTCGCGCCAATCGGGACAACCGCGACGGCGGAAAAAAGAGAGTCGCGTCCGGCACGGCTGAGTTCGGCTCCCGCGACGACGACGACCGCGATGAGCTCCACGCCGATCCGCGACGATTTGGTCCAGTTTTTACCCAGAGAACGCGAGATCGTATCGGAGACGACGACTCCGCCTCCCACATTGGAGACGTCCGCCGGGAAATCTTTGAGTACGGCGGAAAGTCGCGACGTTCTGACTAGCAAACTAGGACCGTTGGGGCGGGAATACTTGGGCGCTCTTCTGGGCGGCGACAAAAACAAGGAGATCGACACCGTTTACGGAGTGCATTTCGGCGAGAAAGGCACGATGCTGGGAAACAAGCGATTCAAGCTGAAACCGGATGACACCATGGTCATCGATGGTGTACCGTACAAAGGCACGCGCGGCCTGTACGAGTTGATCTTCATGGGAAAACCCGACCCTAAAATCTACACGGAGAAGGACAAATTAACGTACAGGAGCATACTTTTCCACCAGCGCTTACAAACGCGGCGGCAAAGCCGACAATCCCGTCAAGGGCAACAAGGGACCGAAGTACAAAAATATAATAGCGCCGCTCGTAAACCTGTCTCTCAGAGTTGGAACTACGAAGGGTGCCGGGCTACCGTCGGCCATGCGACTGACCGACAACGCTATCGATTACGTTCACTGGGACGATCCCAACGAACTGGTCGATAGACTTTGACTGCTGGACGCCTCTCGTCGGGCCGGCAACGATGCTCACGACATCGAAATCCTGTCGATAATCGAGGAACTTCGCGAGGCCGGCTTCGTCATAAATTGATCGGTCGCGTCGGTCGCGACGTCAGTGCGAGTCGCGCGCCCGCCAGCGCGATGTCCGTGAACAAATTCGGCATGTCTTTGACGAATCGGAGCAGCGGCGACGGAGTCGACGGTGCGTCCGCGGTGAGATTGCGCTCCTCGATCGAGTCCCTGCGCAATTACGCGCGCAACAACGCGCTCTTCGTGAGAGGGATTTTTACGACGCGAAGGAGCGCAAGATACGAAGAGTGGCCGCGCCGGAGATCGGCACCGACGCGGCGAACAGGAGTTACGTCGAGGACGCGATTGGGCAGCAGAAAAGCGTTTTGATCGAAGAGATCAAGAATAACAACGCGATCCGAGATTTGGGAAACGGAATCGCGGCGTTGGAAAGCGTCGCGCTCCGTTTGAACGCTCAGGATTCTTACGACGCGTCGGGGCGCAAGATACGACGCGTAGCCGCGCCGGAGGTCGGCGCCGACGCGGCCAACAAGAGGTTCGTCGAGGGAGCGATCGCGGAACTCGGAAAGACTTTGAGCGACGCGATAAAAGAATTTAAAGAGGAGTTCGTTACCGTGAAGAATACCGCGGATTGGCACAAGGTTGAAATCATCGCGATCAAGACCGTTTTGAAGATTATCAAACAAAATGAGCGTGGAAAAACGTAGACTCGTCGAAAAATTTTCCTCGCCGCCGCGTCGTGTTGCGCGGTTACGACGACCTGTGGCAGGCCGACGTGGTCGAGATGCGCCCCTATTCGCGCGCGAACGCGGGTCACAATTACATTCTGACGGTCATCGATGTGCTGAGCAAGTACGCCTGGGCGATCTCGCTCAAGAGCAAGGGCGGAAAGGAGGTCGCGACGGCTCTCCGAAAGATCTTTCGCGAGGACGCGCGACACCTCAGGAATCTGCAAACGGACAAAGGAAAGGAATTCTACAACGCCGACGTGCGCAAAATCCTCGACGAGCGCGAGGTGAATCACTATTCCACGTATTCGGTGATGAAAGCGTCGGTGGTGGAGAGATTCAATCGCACGCTGAAAAACGACATGTGGAAGCTCTTTACGCTCCAGGGATCGTACAGATGGATAGACTCGCTGCCGCGCCTCTTGTCGAATTACAATCGTCGCAGACACAGAACGATCCGAATGCGTCCGGCGGACGTGACGCCCACCGTCGCCGAAAAACTGCTGCGCACGGTGTACGGTCGCGCGAAGATAGCCGCGCCGGCGAAATTTCGAGTCGGCGATCCGGTGCGCGTGAGCAAATTCAAAACGATCGCGTTTCATACGCTCGTACGCGTCTTCGCACTCCAGCGAATAGATCAGACTGTCCGTATCCGTGTAGGCAATTCGACAACGGTCGCGATAGAGCGGCACCATGTAGTCGTAGTGAAACTCGTAGAGACGCGTCTTGGATATCTCGAGAATAGACATACCCACGTAGATCGGCTTGTTGAATGTTACCTCGAGCCTTCACAGCTCGATCGCCACCAGATTCTCCGAGAAGACGCTCCTGCTGTGAAAATTCGGCTTAGCGATCAACGCCTCATCGCCGTATCTCCCGTCCCATCGCGTCACGAGACGCAAGTCCACGTGATCGCGCACGTTCTCCATAATCTTGCCGAAGACAGCGTTGTTCATCAGTTTGTACAAATTCCGTTCGAACTCGTTGCTCGCGCGCGTCCTAAGCGCGGTGTTCAGCTCGATGTACACGCGAAGCCACTGCGACTGGGTGAATCGCAGAACACGACGAACGCGCGTCAGACGCATACCTAGTCGCAGACATTGCTGCAGGTTTCGATAGTGCGTCACGTAGCGCGATTTGTCGTAGAGAGTGGCGAGCAGTTTTTCCTGTCGCTTGCCGGGCGGTTTGTCGCGCGTCGGGCACAACGGCAGATCTGCGTGGGCGTCGTGCAGGTCTCGCGGGTACTCGAGATCCACCTCCAAAATGTAACCGACGTCGCTGTCCGTCGGCACGGTCGTCGCGTCGAAATTCTCAGGATCGTCGAGCCACTGGAAATTCGCGTAGGGCAACGATTCGCTCATAGCCCAGCCGTACAGATTGTTCACGTCGTAATACATGAGATACGTAGTGGGCTGGGACGAATCGTGCGTCGGTACGTGCCTGTTATTGGCTCGCGCGTACCTGAGCGAACATTGACTGAGGCCGCCGCGTATTCCACGTTCCACGAACAGCACCATGTCGATGTCGGTGAGCAGCTCAAAACGCACGGCGGTGTACCACAGCATGGCGTCCCACGTGTACCCCGGCAACGTGTAGTAATGCGCGGGATCGAGCCCGTAACTCGCCGAACACGCGTCCCGAAAATTTTCAAATATATTCGCCAGAAGAAGCACGTCGGTCTTGAGATACAGATCGCTGTACTCGCCGAGATCTCGCACGCGAAAACGTCGCCGGACCCTCGTCGCGTGCTCGTAGTCGCTCTCGCTCGCGGTCTCGTCGGTCAGGGAGCTGTAAAAGGCCTCGCGCGGCGGAAGCTCGGCATCCCGCAGTTTGTCCGCGCCGTCGACGTACTCGTACGGAAACACACCCTTGCGAGTGAGCAGATCAAGATCCTCCGCGCTCAAATCCGCGTACTCCGAACGCGTGATTCTCAGCTTGTCCCTGTTCAGATAGGACGCCAGGGTTTCGATACTCGCCGCTAAAAATTTATACGAGTCCACGAATTGAAGCTTCACGTACCGATCCCATTTCCCGTCCGTCTGCGTCTCCTTAACGGTCTTCGAGAAAGATATGTAGCTTTCCTTCGTGAGCGGCAGCAGATCGACCCCGCCCTCGAAATCGTTCGCGATTTTCTCGACGACAAAGTGCGCGTCGTAACCCGACAAATTGTAAAAAAACACGGGAATCACGTAAACGTTTCTGTAATTCAGATTGCAACGAGAATGCGCCGGACCTCTGTAACGTCCTGTTAGGTGACAGTGATCCCGCACGCGCTTATCCTCCGGTTGAAACGGTTTCCCGCACACGTGACAATGAGTCGCGAGCAGAAATTCGTTTTTCTCGTCCTCCGTAAGTTCCACCATCGCTATATTGGTGGAAAATTTATTCTTAACGCGACGCGCGAGAACGCGAAGCTCGTTCACGAACCACGAAACGCAATCCTCGCCGCGACAATATCTGTACGCGGACGCGGTATCGTTGCAGGTGCAGCACAGATAGTAGCCCAGGCTGAACGGTACGTGACGCTGATAAGCGTATCTTTCCGTTCTCGGGCCCCCCTCGACGTTTTCCCTCTCCCGTCGTTCGAGAAAACACTCCAGATTCGCGTACACCACGAAGGGAAGTTGCTCCTTTCTGACGTAATTGTCGAACGACAGCCACTTGTCGCTCTTGTTCGGGAGAACGACGGCGCAGTCGTTCATTCGGCCGCAGTCGACGCTGTGGGCAATCAACTTGTCGCGCGTATAGAAATAGTGTAGACATCTGTGAAATAACGTGCGAGCGATTACTGCGTGTATGTAAAAAAAATAACGCCTCGTCTTTTCCTTGTTCCCCGTGTTTTTTTTTTTCATTTCATTTTTTTTACCTACCGATCGCAAACGTGCTTCGCGTACCGTTTCGCTGTCAATTGCGAATTCACCAATCGCGACAGATTCTTTATCCAGGCGAAATGGCCCCTGTTGACGCCGCGCAGCGTATCGCGCAGATACAGCAGATTTACGTGCCTGTCCCGCTTATCGTCGGTCAACCGCAGAGGCACGATCGCGTTGTGGTCGGCGCCTCGGCCGAACTTAGCTTTCTTTTCAATTCCTTCCCGAGTTGTAAACACGTCGATCGATACGTCGTTCTGACGTTCGAATTTTCCGATCTTTTTCAGATCTATGGGAAAATCGATCCCGTCGAGATTCAGCACCGTCGCGTAATCTGGATACGAGCCGCATCGTTCCGCGTGCCGTTCGGCGGGGTACAGAGCGGCAACCACCGCGCGCGCGAAACACGCGTCGTGCTCCGACGGCACGTTGACCACCGCCTTTTTAAGTCTTACATCCAGCGGTATTTTCATCCAACATCCCACGTGCATAGGATTACACTTGTTCACGTTCACGATTAGGTTCAATATTCGCGACAACGCCCATCCGCTGTCGCGTTCCTGAAATTCTTCCAACCGCGTTAGAATCGCGTCGCGCACGTGCCTATCGTACCACTCGCTCAGATCGGACCCTGGGACAAGCTGTTCGTTCCGCGTAGCGATACTCTTAACGTCCGCTACGAATTCCCCGTTGAATATGACGTTGACCTTCAGACACCTGTGTTTGGTCATATTATCCCGCACCTTTTCGAGCACGGTGCCCTTCACGTCGTCGAGAAATCGCGCGGGCTCGATGTACGTCGAGTTCGACACGGCGCCGGTCAGCACGCGACGTTGGAACGCCGCGTCGATCTCGATCCACGAGAAACCTCTGTCGCTGCTGCCGCCGCTACCACCTTCCCCTCCGTCCAAGCCGGCACCTACGGCGCGTTCGAATCGTCGACGCAGATCCTCCCTCGAACCTTCCAATCGCGCTATCAGAGCCACCAGAGCGGTCACGGCTCCCGTGTTTCCTCGCTTCCCGGAGCGTTTGACTCGACACTGCTCCCGCAGGAGTCGGAGACACTCGTCGCATCGCCGTCTTCACGCGCGGTACCCGTCCGCGTCGCGGACGTCCGCGGCGAGCAACTCGTCGCACTCTTTCCGCATCGCGTCCAGAAAGGTTCACCCTCGGAAACGTTGAACTTCACTCGGTCGAAAAGACGACGAGACCAGGCGGTTTGAATCCGATATATCCTGCTCTGTCCTTCGTACACTGACTCGTGATAGACATAATACTTGAGCGGCAGGCGACGCATATAATCGCTCGCCCTGACGGAGTTCGCCACCGTCGTCTCTATCCATTTTCGCTCGCGATCGATTCGCGCTCCGATTTCCCTTCGCAGATGATGAGTAGCCAAATTCCATCGCGCGTCCTCCTTCGCCACCGACGCGCGCGCACTCGACAACGGTGCTTCGACTTTCGCCGATTCGTCGTCCAAATCGGACAAAAACTTAGGCATGGGCTCGCGACAGCGCCATTCGTCGTCCGATTCCTCGGACGACGGATAACGGCGATCGTTCATTTCGCGAGCACCCCCGCCGGAAATGCTAGCGTCTTTTCAACGTTTATAGATGTCGATAGATGTCGAATCGGCATCTATAAAATGTCAATTGGACGTCTATAGACGTCGGCGTTCCGACTGGAACGTATCGCCGACGCTACATTCGCACCGCTGACGTCTATATCAAAATAAAAAAATCTCCATCTTCAATCCCCCCACATTAATGTTTCCTTGTAATCATAAGTATCCCACAAACCTATTTTACAATTCCCTCCACACTGTAAACAGAACTCGTGCGTCAATACTTCGTCGTAAACGTTACGGACGCTGCCGCGAACCATACACCAACATGTTTTAACGTATGAGTTCAAAGCCCTCCAAATGTGTTCGGTTCTACCGATATGCAATTTAAAATGCAATTTGAAATTCTTGGGACACCACCTGCGTTCGTTTTTACTGATATGCGATCTAGAATGCTTGGGACACCACGTGTCAGTGCCAGCGAGTACGTTTCGAAATCCGACTTCTCTGCCGCGAAGCAAACGCACCATCGACGAGCAATAGCGTCCGTCCGTTCCCATACCGTATTTTTTTACAAATATATTAACTCTCGACCGCGCTCTAGAATCCTCATAGAAAAAAAAAAACGTTTGCCGCGCCGTTCGCGCGCCCGTTCAATTTATACCTCCCCGTTCGTTGTCTCAACGAAAGACGTACCCCTGCCGGACGCGCTTTTTCCCGGAATGACGACACCCGCTCGCCGCGTCCTCCGAAAAAACGCAGAATGACGACAATCGCTCGCGGCATCCTCCGACGAAAAATAAAAGAAAAACCAAATTAGGAAACGACGAGAGCGATCGCGACGCCGAGTTCAAACGCGCGTTACATAAATTATTGCGAATCATGAATTACAGGTCGAACGCGAGGTGAATGTCGTCTCGCTCGATCTCTCGATACGTCGCGTCGGGGATGAGCGGGAAAACCGCGAAACAAAAGGAGGAAAACCGCGTCAACAAAACCAAATTAGAAAAACGACGAGAGCGATCGCGACGCCGAGTTCGAACGCGCGTTGAAACAATTGTCACGTATCGATCGAACGACGAGACGATGAGTCATCTCCATCGATCCCCGATGAGTCGGGATGGGCGGGAAAACCACGTGCTGCCCGTCGCGACGCGGATCGAAACGACCTTCAGACCGAGAGTTAAAAAAACAAAACAAACGACGACGATGACGACGACGACGAAGACGGGCGCGCGACACCCCCCGCGAAACGAACCATCTAGAACGCGTCGTTCTCCCCCCCACCCCCGAAACGTCCAGACGAGCGACCTCGAACGAGTTCGAACGAGTTCGGACGCGCCCGAACGCGCGCGCGACCGACGACGATGAAAAAAAACAAACGAAAAATATCGACCCGCGATTCTCCAAAACGGTCGGTAACGGCGCGAGCGCCGCTCCGAGTGCCCTCTCGGAAAATGCCCAAATCCCCGCAACGAACCCCCGTTGGCGGCCCTGCCACACCCAACCTTGCGTCAAATGTTCCCCTCGCGTCGCGCTCCCCCTCTCGCCCAGTTTTCTCTTCCCCCCGCATAGCCCTTCCTCCGGTGACCCTTTACACCGTCCCTCGACCCCCTCGCCCACTGCTTACGGCGCTCCCCCCGCGGCAGCAAAGCCCCCCCCCCGACCCCGCGTAACCGCAAGCGAGATCCCTGGGGCAAGAGTACCTATTACCTCCCTACTTATAGCGTAACAAATAATGTTTACAAGTTGAGTTTAAAGTTGGTTCAACATACTTATCAGCTGTTAATAATTTTTTAAAACATGTCATAATTACATTGGCCGATATTCATAGTCACATCTTATATTTCATTTACAAATTGAGAATAATTTTACAAATTGAGAATAATTTGTGAAGAGAGAGAAAGAGAGAGAGAGAGAGAGAGAGAGAGAGAGAGAGAGAGAGAGAGAGAAAGAAAGAGGGAGGAAGGAGAGAGAGAGAGAGAGAGAGAGAATCGAATCGAATCGAATCGTTATTTATTACACGCTCTGGGATACATCCCCTAAAGCGTAGAAACATATGTACAGAAAGTAGACGTAGTGTAATAATATATAACACAGATATGACTGTAGTCGCAAAAACAAAAAAGAAAATATATAAAAGTAAAATAAAATAAGAGAAAATTAAAAATAGAGAAAAAAAAAAAAAACATTAAGCGCATAATCGGTATCAGCCGTTGGTTCGTCCAGACATTGCAAGTAGGTGGTTGTACAGTTTTGATTTAAAGACCGGTAAAGAAGACGCATTGCGTATGTCCGGAGGTATGCTGTTCCACAGTTCCGCGGCAGAGCAACAGAAGGAACGCTTGTAGAACTCTGTGCGACACTGCGGAAGGATCAAGGTACCGAGCGGAGCCCTTATTTCACGCGTGACTCTGTCATGTTTGAACACGAAGTTTGAAAAGATGACCTCAGGTTTTTTCTTCTCTAACACCGAAAAAGTGAGGCTCCCCACGAAGTACAAGCGTCGGAAACTGATCTTAAGCCAACCAAGTCTGTCGAAATAAGGCGTTATATGTTCGTCCCACTTGGCATGGAAAATAAAACGGACGCATCTATTGTAGGCTCTCTGCAAGCGAAGATTTTGTTCGCCCGTGATGTTCGTTAGGATCGTGCAGCCGTAGTCAAGTATAGGTACAATTCGATATAGGGCCGAGACCAGCATGATGCGAAGAGGAAGCGGTAGGAGATGCTT